GAAACGGATAAGGTTGGGCAGAATGGAAGCAGTATGGATAAGATGTTTGCGATAGAGAGCAGCAAATGCCAGCTCGTCATCCAAGTGGATAATCTTGAACCAGCGGCAGGCGAAGTGGCTAAGGTTGAACAGGCGGCAGGCGAAGTGGATAAGGTTGTACCGGCGGCAGGTGAAGTGGAAAAGGTTGAAGCTATATTTAGCGAAACGGATAAGCTCCAGCAGAATGGAAGCAATATGGATAAGATGTTTGCGATAGAGAGCAGCAAATGCCTTCAGCAGAATGGAAGCAATATGGATAAGATGTTTGCGATAGAGAGCAGCAAATGCCAGCTTGTTGAACCGGCGGCAGGCGAAGTGGACAAGGTTGAAGCTATATTTGGTGAAACGGATAAGGTTGAGCAGAATGCAAGCAATCTGGATAAGATGATTGTGATAGAGAGCAGCAAATGCCAGCTCATCATCCAAGTGGATACGGTTGAAGCCGCCACAGGCAAAGTGGATAAGGTTGAACAGGCGGCAGGCGAAGTGGATAAGGTTGAACGGGCGGCAGGTGAAGTGGATAAGGTTGAAGCTATATTTAGGGAAACGGATAAGGTTGAGGAGAATGGAAGCAATCTGGATAAGATGGTTGCGATAGAGAGCAGCGAATGCCAGCTCATCATCCAAGTGGCTGAGGTTGAAGTCGCCGCAGGCAAAGTGGATAAGGTTGAACAGGCGGCAGGCGAAGTGGATCAGCGTGAAGCGGCAGTAGGCGAAGTGGATAAGTTTGGAGCTATATTTAGCGAAACGGATAAGCTTCAGCAGAATGGAAGCGATATGGATAAGATGTTTACGATAGAGAGCAGCAAATGCGAGCTCGTTGAACCGGCGACAGGCAAAGTGGATCGGTGTGAAGCGGCAGTAGGCGAAGTGGACAAGGTTGAAGCTATATTTGGCGAAATGGATAAGGTTGAGCAGGATGGAAGCAATCTGGATAAGATGATTGCTATAGCGAGCAGCAAATGCCAGCCCATCTTCCAAGTGGATAAGGTTGAAGCCGCTGCAGGCGAAGACGTGGATAAGGGCAACAAATGCCAACTTACCATATTAGTGGATAAGGTTGAAGCCGCCGCAGACAAAGTGGATAAGGTTGAACCGGCGGCAGGCAAAGTGGATAAGGTTGAACCCGCGGCAGGCAAAGTGGATAATGTTGAACCGGCTGCAGGCGACTCGGAAGTGGATAAGGTTGAAGCGGCTGCTGTAGGAGAACAGGGCGTTGGGAGTGGGGATGGTGATGGACAAGGTAGGGACGTCCGTGAGCACAATGCAGGCAAACCCGAGCAGCTCGAAGCAGTCTCTGCATGTATAATACCGCATGCCGGGGAAACGGATAAGGTTGTTGAAGAGATTGCAGGCGAAATGGATAAGGAGAAGACAGCAATCATTGAGGAGGTTAATGATTGCCAACCGAGCAGAGAACAACCTGAGCTGTCTCTTATACACATCTAGATGTGTATAAGAGACAGGGTTAATGATTGCCAACCGAGCAGAGAACAACCTGAGAGGAAGAGAAAAGCGGCAGCTGAAGATGCTCTTAATGAAGAGATTGCAAGCCGAATGGATAAGGAGAAGACAGCAATCATTGAGGAGGTTAATGATTGTCTCTTATACACATCTAGATGTGTATAAGAGACCAACCGAGCAGAGAACAGCCTGAGAGGAAGAGGAAAAAGGCAGCCGAGGATGCTCTTAATGAAGAGATTGCAAGGGAAATGGATAAGGAGAAGACAGCAATCATTGAGGATGTTAATGATTGCCGACCGAGCAGAGAACAGCCTGAGAGGAAGAGGAAAAAGGCAGCCGAAGATGCTCTTAATGACTCTCCACGTGGAAGGGATAATGTAGCTCTTCAAGAGACTCTGGTGGATAGAGAGGATAAGACAACGATTAATCCAACGGATAAGGTAAATGTTGACGTATCTAACGACGGCCAAGTTGACGTCGACGAGCAATCCAGTGGAGGACAGCAGATCAGAGGTGGTAGTAAAGATGGGAGGCGGGGGAAGACTGAACAAGTCACTGAAGGTAGCTACTGCAGTGCATTACACGAAGTGGATAAGGTACTAATCGCCGTTAAAGAGCCTGCATGTGAAACCAATAAGACAAGTGCTGACGTGAACAATGACCAGTCGATCGAGGCACAGTCCGACAGGCTAGAATCTGGAAGGGGAGGCGGAACAGGGAGAGCCGTTGACGACAACCAGATGTGTGGAACTGGGAGGGGGTGGGTAAGGCTTGAAGAGGCTGCATGCAAAACAGAGAGACCGGATAAGGCTGCATGCAAAACGGATAAGGCTGCATGCGAAACGGATAAGGCTGCATGCAAAATGGATAAGGCTGCATGTGAAAGAGAGAGACCGGGACGGGCCGTCGAGAGCAGTGATTGCAGAAAAATTGGAGGAGGGTCTGACAATAAGGAAGAGGCTGAAAGGGGAGAAGCTGGAGGAGAAGCCAAGCACCGTTTGCATGGAACAGCCTTATCCGCTTCACTTGCAGATATGGATAAGGATGAGGGGGTTAAGGAGATTGCAAGTGAAACGGCTAAGGTATTTTTCGTTAAGAGTCATGACGTTGACAGCCAGCAGGCCGCTAAGAGCCAGCATGCCATTAACAGCCTCCATGGCGTCAAGGGCGATGGGAGTGAAGACAGCGGAGAGCGATTGGGAGAGAAGGGAGGTGGTGGAATGGACAAAGCGTTTCGTCACGACAAACTAGGCGAAATGGACCAGGTTCACGTGCCAGCAGGCAGCACGGATAAGCTTGCCGTCGAGGGCATGGAGCAACCCACAGGAGTAGTAAGAGGAGGAGGAGGAGGGGGAGGAGGAGGGGGAGGAGGAGGACAGTTGGGCAGAAACCAATCTGGTGAGAGGGGCAAAGCTGGAAGAGCCGTTGAATATCATTCAGTCGAACGAGCGAGGGTAACCCTTAGAGAGACTGCACATCGTGGAGTGGAGAAGGTAGGTGGTGAGAGCAAGAGAAGCAAGCGAAGAGGAGCATGGCCTGGCAAGATGGAACCTGGAAGGGAGAAGGAGGCTAGGAGATCTGTGAAAGGACGTTCATCGTGTGAAATGGATAAGGCAAATGCCGAAGAGACTGATTGTGGAACGGATAAGGTAATTGATAAGTTACGGGATAAGGTAACGGTACTAACGGATAAGATAAGGGATAAGGTAACCGCTGAGAGCAGTGGCAGCAAGACAAGTGGAGGAAAATCCAGCACCAGGGGAGCTGCTAGGGGAAAAAACGCGGGAAGAGTCGTTGAAGACCGCCATTCATCCGAAACGGATAAGGTATTCGAAACGGATAAGGCAATTATGCAAGAGACTGATGGTGGAAGGGATAACGCAAACACGGAGAGAAAAGAGAGAAAACAAAGCGGAGGACAGTTCGGCAGCAGGGGAGCAGAGAGAGAACCACGTGAAAGAGCCGTTGAGGATCATTTACGTGAAGCAGATAAGGATAAGGTTAAGGATAAGGTTAAGGATAAGGTTAAGGATAAGGTAATGGTTGAAAAGAGCGCAGGTGCAACGAATGAGAAACCCGTCGTCGAAACCAAATGTAGCAAACCAAGTGGAGGACAATTTGGAAGCAAGGGAAGTGGAAGGGGAAAATGCGGGAGGTCTGTTGAAGACCATTCATGTGAAATGGATAAGGTCAGTATGGAGAGGACGGCAAGCAGAACAGAAAAGAGAAGCATAACGGTTGGAAACAACGGGAGCAAACAAAGCGGAGGACAGGCCGGCGGCAAGGCAAGTGGGAGGGGCAAATCTGGAAGAGCAGTTGAAGAACATTCACCTGAGATGGATAAGGAAAGTGTCGAAGCGACTGTAGACGGAACGGATAAGGTAACGGATAAGGTAACAGAAAAGTTAACCGACAAGGTAACAGAATTGGTAGCCCCTGAGAGTAATGGGAGCAAGCAGAGCGGAGGACAGTTGAGCAGCAAGGGATCTAAACGGACTGGATCCCAAAGAGCTATAGAAGAACATTCACACGAGATGGTTAAGTTAAGCTTTGAAGCGACGGGAGGTGGAACGGATAAACTATCGGATAAGGTAACGATTGAGAGCAACGACATCAAAGAAAATGCTGGACCGTTAAGCAGCAGCAGCAGAGGACCGACGAGGGGAAAAGCCGCAGGAAAGAAGAGGGAGAGATCTCTGGACTGTGGGGAGGAGGAACTAAACTTGGAGAGGTTATGCTTCGAAGCGACTGCAGGCCGAACGGATAAGGTAACGAAGGTAACGGATAAGGTAATGGATAAGATAAAGATGGAGAGCAACGATAGCAAGCTAAATGCTGGAACGTCGAACAGCAGCAAAGGACCGACGAGGGGGAAAGGTGCAGGAAAGAAGAGGGAGAGGTCTGTGGAAGATAGGGAGGAAGAGGATGCGGCTGAGGTGAAGGAGAAGAAGAAGGTACGGAGGAAGACGAAAGGGAAAGAAATGGTGATGGCAAAGGACTTTGAGCACGAAATGCTGAGAAGGGGTCCTTGCGGGGGTCAAGGTATTCCAATTCTTGAGAACGGATTGATTTGGGCGGCCATCAACGGGCTTTTTTGTCGTGCTTCTATGGATGACAGCGCTACACAGTGCATCATTCGTGAGCAATTCGCAAAGGATATGAGGCTAAATGTGGACCACATTCACCCTCGTAATGTGCCCTGGCTTAATGGAGCGACCATCAGGTGTATGGGACGGGTACACAACGCTTCGATCACGGTCGGCAAGACGCGATCTGTCGTCGATTGCTTTGTGTCTAAGGTACTTAATGATGAGAAAAGCTACGGCGTAGATCTAGTCTTGGGTCGTTCCTGGGAAGATGTAGTGCAGATGCTGTCAGCTTCTATCACCAGTCCGATGTCGTGGAGGAATATCCGAGATCCTGTGACTGGAGACGAAGAGACATTCTTGCTGTGCGGCGCATATTATCCCGAACCAATACCCTGGGAATTGTTTGAGAAGGATAGAGAAGAAATGGCGACCCACTTTAAGAAGAAGAGGGCAAAACGGGCTGCTCGAGACGGTTCCAGGGGTCTTTGGGGGATTTCTGCAACTGGTCATCGGTAGTGCTTCTTGGAGTTGGCTACGAGGGTTGCTCACCGATTGACCGATTGACTCGCCGACCGGGCCGACTGATAGGAACGAATGGCTGCAAGGTCAAGCGACTCTGACTGATGATTGACCGACCGGCTTTGGACAAACTGAGCGCACTGGTCAAC